GGGACCAGAGAAGGAAGGAAAAAAGATGAGAGCCTGCTTTTAATTGTGAATACAATATAAAGTAAGAAAGCTGTTTATTTTTTAAAAAACAAACAAACAAATAAGCTCTATGACATCACCTGAAAATTTTCTTTTAAATTGCTCTTTTTAGGAAGCCACATATTTATTCCAATTGCTGAAGGCTTTTTGTAACTTGTAGTTATTGGTTTTGGAGCCTGTATCCTGTTTTTTTCTGAATAGTCTTAGTGTATAGATTAAAGATGGATTTGCTTTTTTTAAATGATAAAAGGTATTTAGAAGGTGGGTAAGAAAGAATCTGTACTTTATACTTTTTGGCCAAATGTTTTTTGTAACTATTAAAAAATGTGGCTGATGATCTCTATGATCAGCAAACTTGCATTTCCAGCAAAGAATTCTGAGAGTGCTTTGAGAGATGCTAACACTGTTGGAAGGCGCTGATGCTGCCTGAGGCAAACACTCAGGTGCCATCACTGAATCGCTAGGTCACTAGGTCCAGGTCGGCTAGGTGGAGGGCTGTTACCTGGATGGCCACTCTCACTTTATGATCAACAAACAGTGACTTTTCTTAGACTCCCATTTCTCACTCCAGATAACGCGACTAGAAGGAAGGAAAAGTAATAATCAGGGGTCAATTCTTCCAATGCTTTCAGGCACTGGTTTAGGATACTTGGATTGAATAAGTGTTATTACATTAACTCCAACATTAACAATGTGATTAGTTTTCCAGACTAACAGAAGTTTTCAGAGAATGAGAGAATCACATGCTTTATTCCAACACATATGCAAAAATTTTACTAATTTCCTTTCATTAGTTTTTAATCTTTTTACAGTTGTCTTAATGGTTAAAAGCTACAAAAACAGCACACGGAAATCAAACTTAAGATCTATTTGTGAGGCGCTTTCTAAATTCCATTTGAATGACTGCAATTCAAAATAAACAAACTTCTTAAGAAATAACTGATATAGTAAATATAAATGGCTTGAATTTTTTTAATATTGGCACTAACTGAGGAAATGATAATAAGAAAGTGCTCAGGCTTTTAAAAACAGGGTACTTTGAAATTCTAATTCAATCTCTTTTCCTAATAGATTTATCTGGGAACTTGATTAAAACATACAAATTATTAGAAAGACTTGGAAAATTTGGTCTAGGTGGAATATAATGAATTCATTCTCTTTCTTTTTTTAAATTAAATTTATTTGGGTGACAATGGTTAGTAAAATTACATAGGTTTCAAGTGTGCAGTTCTATAAAACATCATCTATGTATCACATTGTGTGCTCATCACCCAGAAGGAAAATTGATTCGGTGATGAATTGATTTTCTATATAAGAGAGAATTAGAATTTTACTTATGTTAGATATTTTTCATCTTGGTAATGATGGAAATCCTAAGTAGGTTTTAAATTATATTTTCTAATTTTAGAAGTATTATACATTACTTGTGTAAAAAAACCACAGAAATTATTTTAAAAAAGGAAAATCTCCCATAATTTTATTACCCAAAGTAGACCACTATTAATATCTTGTTAGGTATTTTAGTGTTTTATTCATGCATAGCTTACATATTCAAGAGTATATTATTTATACAATTTTATATCCTGATCTTCTTCACTTGATATTTTTAGATATTTTCCTATATTATTAAAAACTCTTTGACCTCTTTTTTGATGATAGTACTGTCATTCTATGGATTTACGTGTATCCAAAAACTGTTTGTTGAAGTCCCACTATGTGCCAGAGAATGTGCTCTATTGCAAACAAAACACAAGTAGTTCTTGACTTCGTAGAACAGTCAGGCAAATACACTGTTGTTTGCTTAGCTGTTTCCATGTAATTAGACATTAAGATTATTTCCAATTTATTGCTATTATAATTAGTGCTGAGGTGAATGGCTTAAAGTATGGGCTTAGAGAATAGGCTTTGGAGTCAAACATAGACAAGTCAGGACTCGGCCTCTTTTACATATGATCTCTGTAAATATGGGCATTTTCCTTAACCTCTCTAAGCCTCAGCATCCCCATCCCAGTGAAGGGGATAATAGTTCCCACCTTAGAAAGTTATTGTTTAGATTAAATGAGATATTGCAATAAAAACCACAATGAGATATTATCTCACACCTGTCAGAATGGCCTTCATCAATCAATCAATGAACAGCAAGTGTTGTTGAAGGTGTGGAGAAAAGGGAACCCTTGTGCACTGTTGGTAGGGTTGCAAGTTGGTGCAGCCACTATGGAAAACAGTATGGAGGTTCCTCAAAAAATTCAAAATAGAACTACCTTATAACCCAGAAAGAAATCCAAAACAGTAATTTGAAAAAATATATGCACCTCTATGTTTACTGCAGCACTTTTCACAGTAGCCAAGATATGGAAACAACTGAAATGCCCATCAATAGAAGATTGGATAAAGGAATTGTGGTGCATTTATACAGTGGAGCATTACTCTGCCATAAAAAAGAATGAAATCTTACCATTTGCAACAACATGAATGGACCTAGAGGATATTATGCTAAGTGAAATAAGTTAGACTGAGAAAGACAAATACCATATGATCTCACTTATATGTGGAACCTAAAGAACAGGATAAATAAGCAAACAAAACAGAAAAAGAGCCATATTAATATTGTAGATACAGAAAAAAAACTGATGGTTGTTAGAAGGAAGGGGGTTTGGGGAGATGGGTAAGAAAGGTGTAGGGATTAGGAAGTACAAATTGGTAGTCACAAAATAGTCATGGGGATGTGAAATACAGTATGGGAAATAGAGTCAATAATACTGTAAAAACTATACACAGTGTCAGATGGGTAGTAGAGTTATTTGGGGGATCACTTCATAAATTATATAAATGCCTAACCACTGTGCTGTACACCTGAAACTAATATAAAATAATATTAAATATCAACTATAATTTAAAAATATATAATCACAGAATGTAAAGTACAGCATAGGGAATATAATCAATGGTATTGTAGTAGCTGTGTATGGGTAGCTGTGTATGGGTACTGCCAGATGGGTAGTAGACTTGTTGGGGTTATCACTTTGTGAGGTGTCTGAATGTCTAATCACTAGGTTGTTTTGTACACCTGAAACTAATAATAAAAAATAATAATAAATAAAAGTAAAAAAATTAAAAATCACTATTAGTTTTGTAAATTAAAAGTAATGCATGTAAATCACTTTTCATGGTGTACCAAGAGCTCAATTATTCTTGTTAGTAGTAGTAATAGTGCTAATAATGATATTCTTTTTGTGCATGAAGCTTAATTGGCATTTTGGTTTATCTTAAATTGTTGTAATTATATATATTAATTTTTTAAAAAGATAACCCTCACACATAATATCAAATGAAAGATGCTATAAATTGCATGTTTTTATACCCTTGTCTTTGTGTAAAAGTACCTAAATTTTTTCACTGAGAGTGTCCCTGGTTTCCAGAGCAGATTTTATTGTAGCTCAATGAGCTGTAATACTATTTGGGAGAATTTACTACTAAGTGTCTCATAGTCATGATGGTATATTAACTTAGAATGCCTTTTTCAGCATGCAACTGCCACGGTCATGCCATCGACTGCTACTATGATCCAGATGTTGACAGGCAGCAGGCAAGCTTGAATAGCCAAGGCATCTATGCAGGTGGAGGTGTCTGCATTGATTGTCAGGTGAGGTACTATGTAAGTCAAAGTGGATGTGTCACTGTAGGAAATGAGCATGAATTAAATCTTGCTCCCCAAAATATAAATTTTATACTAAAGAACTATAAACAAGCATTGAACTCCAGTCAATTATATGCATGTTAAAGCTTTGGAGGAAACTGACTGATATCTAATTTATAACTAATTTAATAACTAACTTATTTTAAATTGCAGAAAAAGTAAGATGGACTGGTGGATGGATAGGGAATGAGTAGATGGTTAATTATGTGATAAAACAAATACAGTAAAATGTTAACGGTAAACTTTACATAGGGTGTGTCTAGGTGTTCACTGTAAAACTTGCAATTTTTCATAATAAAATATTGTGGGGAGGGGAAGAGCAATGAAAGAAGAAGGTAAGGAGCACAACATTTTTGGGTTGATTCCTTAATTTCTTTCCGTCTCATGAAATATTGATGTTCTTAGTTAAGATTGAAGATTACCCAATTTGTTTAAGATTATGCTTGAAGACACTTTACCTCCAACAACTAAAACAGAGTCTTTAGCTTCTTCCATGGAGGCATGACTTATGATCTAAGTCTTGAGCTTGCTCCTTATCGATTTGTGTCCTTGATGTGTTGGTCTCACTGTTTCCAAACTGTCTGTCTCCCACACATACACATATAGCACGTAAAGCTAAGAGATGGGATCAAGAAACAGAGGGAGCACACCTGGCTGCATTCCTTCTTGCAACAAGTCCCACAATATATCAGAAAAGACATTAAACAAGCAAAATACCTTCTCCTTCCAGAATCCATAAAAGCATAAAAAATAAGCAAGTGTCATCAACAGACCAGGAAATTCAAGAGTCCAAAAAGGTAGAAAGTAGAAACATACATTTAGGAGAACACAGCTGTGACTCCTGGAATAATTTGGAGGTATTCCAAGAAAAAAACAGATAGAAATTAACTGTGGAGCTGCATTCAAACCTATAACACTTTATTGGAGTTTATAAAATAAGACCTATATGAAGAGGCATAATGTGTTTTCAGATTCAATATTATAAATATAGCATTTCTCCAAAACCAATCTCTAAATTCATTGTAATTGCAACCTGAATTCCAAGAGGATTTTTTATGAAGATTGATAGGCTAAATCTAAAATTCTTATTGACAAAAGAGCATATCAGAATGGACAAATAGTTTAGAAAAAAATGAATAATTATGGAAGAAATTTGTCTTCCGAGATACCAAAACATCCCATGAATCTATTTGAGTATGGATTCAATGCAGGGATAAATAGCTCAACAGAACCTAATAAAGAATCTAGAAACAAATTCATGTAGATGTTAAAATTTGGTTTATGGTAAAATTGGCATTTCCAATGGAAGAGAAAGATGAATATTATATAAATGATGTTGATACAATTGGCTCTTTATTTGGGGAAACATATGTAACCCCATCTTATGCCATATACAGAGGGACATGAGGAGTCTTGAGGAGGACAGGGAGCTGCTGCTGCTACAGCAGGGTCGGTTAGCTTGGTGAGCTACAAGGTGATGCTTCATGACGAAGTTTGAATTTGCTGGCAGAACACATATATCCTATAGCAAGGTTCTCCTATCAGAAACCCAGCTGTCTTAGTCTGTTCAGGCTGCTATAACAAATACACCATTGACTGAGTGGCTTAAAGAGTAAACAGTTCTTTCTCATAGCTCTTGATGTTGGCTGTGAAGTCCAACATCAAGGTGCTAGCAGATCTGGTGTCTGGTGAAGGCCTGCTTTCTGACTTGCAAATGGCTGCCTTCTCGTTGTATCTTCACATGTTGGAGAAAGACAACAACTCTTTTTTTTATGAGGGCGCTAATCCCATTATTAGGGCTCCACCCTCATGACCTGATCACCTCCCAAAGCCCCATGTTTAAATACTGTCACATTGGGGATTAGGCTTCAACATATCAACTTGATGGGAGGTGGGGGTGGGGGGTGGGGGGCACACAAACATTCAGTTGATAGCGCCAGCTAACCTGGCTGGTACCCTCTTTTTCTGTATAGTGTTGGCAATGGGAGAATGATGAAATATCTGCCATCAGCTCTGGGCTGGTGACAGAAACTGGGAACATCACACAGTCGGGATGGGCCTGGAGACTTTCAGATGGTCTGGCAGCCAGCATGTGCGAGCGCCAGATCCTTATCATGCAGGGCAAGCAGTTATCAGAGATGCCATATGCTCATGTGGTACTGATTTTATTTTTAGTTCTTGAGTTTACCATTTTAAGACATTTTTAATAGGGTGGCCAGTTCCCTGGATGTGGCATGTGAGTTAAGACCTGAAAGAAGTGAGAGAATGAGCCAGGCAGCTGTCTGGGGAGAGCATCCCAGCAGAGGGGGTGGCAGGGCAAAGGGCCTTGAGAGGGAGCAAGAGGCCCTGCGTGGCTGGAGGCGAGCAAGCAGGGGTCGACGCATCAGAGAGGTCACAGAGGCCAGATCCTGTTGGCCTCAGGAAGGGAAATAAGATAGGGGGCTTTTCAGGTGAGTATGGCTGACAAGGGACTAGCCAGTAATCTCTGTGTGCTTTGAGGTTCACAGAAATGAAAACCAACAACCATGTTGTGGGCGTGGTCAAAGAATTGAGAGACAGAGAGAGATGGGGTTTATCTGGAGATTGAAAAGCACCTTTGCCGGCTGAGTGGCTCAGCTGGTTAAGAGCTCGTTCAAGAGTGTGAGCTCTAAGCAACAGCAGTTCGAGTCCTGGCCCGAGCTGAGCAGCCAGCCGCTGAGGTGCCAACAGGTGGCAGGATGGCTCAACTAAAAAAATTAAATTAAATTAAAAAAAAAAGAAAAGCACCTTGGAAAAGTTCTAATTGGAGGAATTAGGACCTAAGAAGTATCAGAGCAGGGCCAAGTTTCTAGGTGAGCATTCCATAGAAAGATTCTCTAGGTGGTGCCAAAGGAGGGGGTAAGTATGGGGTGGGCTTACCTCCTGCGTAGATTCCACCAGTGCCTGTATCTTTAGCTTGGGCAGCTGAGGTTTTCTCATCTTGTTAAGTGTCATGCAAATGCAAATTCAAGTACCCACTTCTCCCAGCAATTTTGCTTCTTCAGTGCTTCCAATATAGAAATTAGGGAAACACCACTGTCTTTGGGTCTCAGTCTGGCCTTGGTCCAACCATGACCTTAGAGTCCATGGATAAAGGGGTATGTCATTGCTTTTAGGATGTGATGTGGGTCCTAGACAACTACCTGAGATCTGAAGGCAAACTACAGGCATTATTCCATCTGCAGGGTGATTTGTTCGTCTCTTTTTGTCATTTATTACTGTTCCTTGTGTCTTAAAAATGTAACTTCTCTGTGGCAGGTGCTTCATTGACCAAACTTTGTAGAAGAGGAGAAAGCCTGGGCTGCTCATTTCAAAGAGCTTTTC